AAAAAAAAAAAAATCATCTCGCACGAATAATAATTAAATTCCATCGAGTAAACCTTCCATATTGAATTTCACTCGGATCCTCGGATAAACACTCGCTATCAAACTTGATCCCATCGCTAATTACAATCAAGGTTTTATGCATACTTACTGATAATATGCATATTAATAAAACCTATTTTCTCGGATCGAAAACCTGTTCGAACAACTATATAATGCAATGTAAAATTTGTTCCGTTCTAAAGCGATTTCTAATCGATAAAACGCGCTTCGCCTCGATCATCGCTTCGAAAACATATAAAAATCTAATTCCGCTTAGTTACGTGATCCTTTTTTTTTTTTCCCCTCCCATTTTCATCAATGCAGTTATTTCCCCAGAATATGCGATCGACATCGAAGGACTTTCCGCGTATTACGTATCTCACTTGCGTCCTCACCTTGAACGAGTGTCGATAGATCGATTTTTTTATTGCGTTGTTACCGTTCTCCAAACAGCGATCCCATTCGGATAACGATTTGGACACACATTTGGACAGATTTCTCTCCAAAGGGCAATACCTTTCATCTTTCAATCTTGTTTAACAGTTGCATTTTAAAAAATTGAGTTAGTTGCACTTTATGAGCATTTATAGTTGGGATTTATATAGTGTCGTCCCCGCGAATCGATCGAAAATGGCGTGTGCGAAATTTGTTGTTGGGGAAGGCCAGGAAAATTATCAGACCGTGATAGTTGGCATGCGTGATAGGCACGCCGCTCGGTGTAATTGCAGGATAAGGCCAACTAGATCTATGGGAACTTTTTTGTATATCATAGGCCATGGGAACGTTTCGTCTTTGCCCGATGCGATGTTACGTTGGCGCGTGTCGTTTCGATGAGATAAGTCGATAAGTTGTCGGATAAGTGGTCTTTTTTTTTCAATTAAAACTGTTTCCATTGATGATGTGAACCGATCACAATTAAAATTCTCGTGGAATTTGGTATTTTCCACTTTTACGATCTTCCTTCATTAACTCAAAGATTAGAAAAATTATTATGCATTAGAATGGTTTGAATGAAAAATAACTTTGATTATTCTCGAGTATCGTAATAAATAAAGGTGAATAATAATCTCTCCTTTTGGATAGATGGTTTATTTCGATTATTTAAATTTTTTCTTTCTAAAGGAAATTATCAGGAAAGATACAATACATATAAACGATAAAACAAATAATCAGTATATTTTTTTTTCCTTATATTAAACACTTAAATTAATACAGTCCACTACTGCTATATCAATCGATTCAACATTCGATCCCCGGCTACTTTGCTGCCCTCTTTAGCAACGAATCCAGAGGAGAAGCGTTTTTTGTATCCTCTTGAAGGCGAAGATCGAGTCCTCTCCGAAGATTTAATCTCGGACAACGTTTCAGCCTCGCTGTTAGAAGCCGATGCCTCAGAGTTCTCGTTGACAGTCTTTTCCGCGGGCTTCTCAGTCGTCGTCACGGGTCGATGGTCGTAATGATGGCCACCGTACGGAGGATGCCAATGAACCGATGGAAAGTGATGGTAAAAATTCAAATAAGGGACGGATTTGATCCCTGAGAATAGGTGATCGTGGAATCCGTGTCCGAAACGATATCCACCGAAGAATGGCAGCAGAGGATAACCGTGCAAATTGAGACCCCCATAATGGGGGCCATAAGGGGGTGGATATCCAAATGGCGGATATCCGTGATACGTGGCATTATTTCCGTTTTCTGGTGTAACGATTTGTTCGGAATTTCCTTGATTATCAGCTGGATTCTGCGACGGTCGAGCAGGTCTTCCGTGCTCGTAGAAATTTGGGTAGAATGGTTGTTGGTGAGGACCAAACCTAGGATCGTGATAAAAAGATGGTGGACCGTACGGTTGTGGACCGGTTCCGTTACCATCGCCCTGCGTCTCTTTGTTATATCCCGGATGAAAAGTATCGTTGTAGGGGCGGGGATAGAATCCAGGAAATCCGTGATAGAAAGCATCATATGGAGGTAAACCATAATGGAAACGAGGGCCGTAATCGTATCCCCTTAACGCAGTTTGACCTTGATTCTGATCTTCCAATCTAGATGGATCACTTTCATCTCGCCCATTAGTCGGAGTCACGTATCGATCCTCACTTTCCACGGGTCTCTCGCGAGGATAGAACTCTGGCTGTCCTTGAAACCCTGGTGTATAATAAGAATTATGAAAGGAGCCACGATAATTGAGATTATACGGTCTTCGAGTTATCCTGGCAATCTGGTTATTATTCCCGTTTTCATCTGTGTTAATTTCTTGTTCGGGTGTTGTCGAATGTTGCCGAGGATCGACGGGTCTCTGAGTCGAGAGACGATGATAATGAAGATCTACTAATCTGGCATAATGATTTGAATTAGATAATGGATCGACGGGTTTGTATCTGAATCCAAGAGAATGGAAAGGAGGTGGATCAACGTCTTCGTTGACGGAATTTTCTTTGGTATTGATTATATTAAGATTTCCAGGTGTGTTCACCTCGTTGTAAGGAATTCTTGAATTCAC